AGCCTGTATTCAAAATTTAAAAATAAATACTGTTTAATTCTTAAACCAGATCACAACAAAGAATTCTAAATACAACTATAAAAATGAACACAAAGTCCAAACATCAGTAAGCCAACAATCAGGAGCGGACATTCAGCCTAGGGGTTAAGATGCCCATGTTCTACACTGGAATGCCTCAGTTCAATTCCTGGCTCCAGTCCACACCAATGTAGACCCTGGGAGGCTGTGATGATGGCTCAAATAATCGGATTCCTGTCACCCATACAGGAAACCTGGATTAAATTCATGGCTCTGGCTCCAGCCCCAGTGTTGTGCGCATTTGCGCAGTGAACCAGCATATGAGAGCTCTATCTTCCATCTCAAGAAAATAAATAATAATTTTTTAAAAACGCAGTAACTGGGGCTGGCGCTGTGGCAAGTGGGTTAATGCCTTGGCCTGAAGCACTAGCATCCCATATGGATGCTGGTTCGAGACCCGGCTGCTCCACTTCCTATCCAGCTCTCTGCTATGGCCTGGGAAAGCAGTAGAAGATGGCTCAAGTCCTTGGGCCCCTGCACCCGTGTGGGAGACCAGGAACAAGCTCCTGGCTCCTGGCTTTGGATCAGCACAGCTCCAGCCATTGCGGCCAGTTGGGGAGTGAACCATCGGATGGAAGACCTCTCTCTTTCTCTGCCTCTCCTCTCTCTGTGTAACTCTTTCAAATAAATAAATCTTAAAAAAAAAAAAAAAAAAAAACAGATGGCCGGCGCCGCGGCTCACTAGGCTAATCCTCCGCCTAGCGGCGCCGGCACACCGGGTTCTAGTCCTGGTCGGGGCGTCGGATTCTGTCCCGGTTGCCCCTCTTCCAGGCCAGCCCTCTGCTGTGGCCAGGGAGTGCAGTGGAGGATGGCCCAGGTGCTTGGGCCCTGCACCCCATGGGAGACCAGGAAAAGCACCTGGCTCCTGGCTCCTGCCATCGGATCAGCGCAGTGCGCCGGCCGCAGCGCGCCGGCCGCGGTGGCCATTGGAGGGTGAACCAACGGCAAAAAAGGAAGACCTTTCTCTCTCTCTCTCTCTCTCTCTGTCTCACTGTCCACTCTGCCTGTCAAAAAAAAAAAAAAAAAAAAAAAAAAAAAAGAATATCTTGTCTTAAAAAAAAAAAAAAATGCGGGGCCGGCACTGTGGCGCAGTGGGTTAATGGTTAATGCCCTGGCCTGAAGCGCCAGTATCCCATGTGGGCGCTGATTCATATGGGTGCAGGTTCAAGACCCGACTACTCCCACTTCTGATCTGGCTCTCTGCTATGGCATGGGAAAGCAGTACAAGATGACCCCTGCACCCACGTGGGAGACCCGGAAGCTCCTGGCTCCTGGCTTCAGATTGGCACAGCTCCAACCATTGCAGCCATGTAGGGAGTGAACCACTGGATGGAAGACCTCTCTCTCTCTCTCTCTGCCTCTACTCCCTCTGTGTAACTCTTTCAAATAAATCAATAAGTAAGTATCTAAAAAAAAAAAAAGAAAACTACACAGGCCTTTGGCATGCTAACTGCTGCCTGAGGGGAGTCTGCGTCATATTTAAAAAAACAACAACAACAACAACAAAAAACTCAGTGACTAAGAATGATAAGAATGAAACCCAGAGGAAATGTCCACAAACACAGAATAACAGGGAAAAGAAATAACGACTGATAACTATTTGTCCCTAAGACACAAACTGGTGATGACTCTGACATTAAGTTCTGAGATTTTATAGGTTTTTTTTTTTTTAATCATTTTGTCAGTTGTTTTTCTTGCTACCTGCTTCTCTTCTCCCTTGTATTGTTATAGGCCAGGGACCCACATAAAACACATTAGCTACACCTGTCTCACTGTACCATGAAACACTATTACACTCTATTTGAAGAATTATAAAAGAGCTTGTAGGCTCCAAACATAAAGACAACAAGGACTGGCATTGTGACATAACAGGTTAAGCTGCCACAAGTAATGACAGCATCCCATATGAATACCAGTTCAAGTCCCAGCTGCTCAGCTTGCAATCCAGCTCCCTGTTAATGCCCCTGGAAAAGCAGTGGAAGATGGTTCCATGTGGGAGACCCAGATGGAGTTCCAGGGTCCTAACTTCATTATGGCCCAGCCCCAACAGTTGCGGCTGTTTAGGGAGTGAACCAGCAAATGAAGATCTGTCTTTGCCTCTCCTCTCCTCTCTGTAATTCTGCCTTTCAAATAAATAAATCTTTAAAAATAAAAAGAAAAGCTAAGATAATGGAAATGTTAATTGTCCGACTTGATCAGCTTAGGCTGTATACATGAGCTGAAATACTGTCCTATACTCCTCCATAAAAATGTACAAATACAGGGGCCACCACCTGTGACACCAGCATGCCATACAGGTGCTGGTGTGAGTCCTGGCTGCTCCACTTCCAATCCAGCTCCTTGTTAATGCGCCTGGGAAAGCAGTGGAAGATGGCCAAGTACTTGGGCCCCTGCACCCACATGGAAGAAATTCCTGGTTCCTGGTTTTGGTCTGGCCCAGCTCTGGCCGCTGCATCCATTTGGTGAGTGAACCAGCAGATGGTCAATCTCTCTCTCTCTGTAACTTCACCTTTCAAATAAATCTTAAAAAAAATAATAATAAAAAAAAGTACAAGTACTACATGCTAATTAAAAATAAATAAATATAAAAACAGCTATTAGCTTTGTATCTAATACATGAGTAATAAGTACAAAATTGCTCTTTTTGAAAAAAATTCGTTTGGATGCTAGATCAGAAGTAGGGCAGCCAAGTCTCGAAACAGCGCCCATCTGGGACTTTTATTGTTTTTTCCCTCATTATCTATGTCCCAAATAAGTAAAAATGGCATAGTTAGGTTGTTTGGAAATGACAAGGAGGAAAAGAACAAAGATGTTACAGAACAACACATATAAGGGCCAGTGCTGTGGCATAGCAGGTAAAGCCTCCACCTGCAGTGCCGACATCCCATATGGGCGCCGGTTCGAGTCTCGACTGCTCTACTTCTGATCCAGCTCTCTGCTATGGCCTGGGAAAGCAGTAGAAGATGGCCTGGAGGAGGCTCCTGGCTCCTGGCTTTGGATCAGCACAGCTCCAGCCACTGCAGCCAATAGGGGAGTGAACCAGTGGATGGAAGACCTCTCTCTCCCTCCCTCCCTCCCTTCCTCCCTCCCTCTCTCTCTCTGCCTCACCTCTCTGTGTAACTCTGACTTTCAAATAAATAAGTAAATCTTTAAAAAAATACATATATAGCATTTCTTATTGGTTTTGTGTAAGTACAAACATAAATCTAATTATTTAAAAAGAAGTCTGCATAGGATAAGTGGCAAATTTGATTCTTCTGTAGGATTTAGGCGGGAGAGGAATAAGAAAACATTTTCTTGACTTTTTATGATCCTTACTGTGAACATGAATTTGGAATAAACAAAACTTGTTTTTTGTTTTTCAGTTTTACATGGTTCGTTAGTGATCTCTGAATTGAATAAAGTATTAGTCTTGGAATGCAACGGACTTCTCTCCTGCTGATTAGATTTATCAACCTCATTTTTTTTGTTTCTGTAATACACATGGGGCACATGGCAGGTAAACAGCCCAAGGTAAAAGGTGAACCCCAGAAAGAAGTCTTTTGAAAATGGGATTTTTAAAGAGCCGAATCATTTCACATATAACCAAAAGTTGACTGTATTGTGTGGGTTTTCAAGGTAACAAGTGAGATATTATGTAGATTCAAGGTATCCTTGGAAAGGGATCTCACATTAAATCTAAGTGAAGGCCTTCTATATTGCTGTAACACCTGTCACACTGTAAGGGACTGGGGCATGGAAAAATTTCATTTAAAAGATGCCGAAAGTTTACTAACAAATTAATTTGCCCACAAAATCTACAACTCTATGACTTTATAATATAAATAATTTCAAATGACCTAGGTTGGTATCCTGATCACAACTTATAACTACTATTCATGGAACAGGATACAATTTATATCTCTCCATTTCCCAGTGTTTCTTTCCCTATCTGGTTTCCAAACATCAAAGCAGGAGAAGTCAAAAACACCATAACAGGAGCCACAGATGGAAAAAAAAAAAAAAGACACAGAATATACATGTTTCATTTAATTTTTAAAGGTGCTTACTTATTAGATTGTCTTCCCTTATAAAATTCGAGCTTCAAATCACAAAACAGCATTCTTAAACACACCTCAGGTTTATACTTCTGCTTATACTAATGAGAGTCAGTGTGACTTAATAGACTTTGGACTTCTCAGACTAAACCTAAGGTATATGGGATGCACTATCTGTAACACTGTGAAGCAAAATATGAATTAAACTAATTGTTTTTTTTTGTTTTTTTTTTTTTTTTTTTTGACAGGCAGAGTGGACAGTGAGAGAGAGAGAGACAGAGAGAGAAAGGTCTTCCTTTTGCCGTTGGTTCACCCTCCAATGGCCGCCGCTGCAGCCGGCGCACCGCGCTGATCCTGGCAGGAGCCAGGAGCCAGGTGCTTTTCCTGGTCTCCCATGGGGTGCAGGGCCCAAGCACCTGGGCCATCCTCCACTGCACTCCCTGGCCATAGCAGAGAGCTGGCCTGGAAGAGGGGCAACCGGGACAGAATCCGGCGCCCCAACCGGGACTAGAACCCGGTGTGCCGGCGCCGCAAGGTGGAGGATTAGCCTATTGAGCCACGGCGCCGGCTTGAATTAAACTAATTGTAAGGCTACTATGTAGGAATAAGAAAGCTTACTAATGAGAGAGCTAGCTCATCCTAGCACACCATGAGTGTAATCTACTTCTGAAGGGGGGGGGGGTTTGTTAATTCTACATATTGGTTTATTCCTTTTGATGCCAAAAGTCTACTACTGTATTTGTTACTAATTCTAAGTAAGTGTTCAATGCCGTAAGACAAAGTTCATTTACAATGGATTACTAAAAGATAAGCCAACAGAAACCATCAGCCCTCAGACCCCTGCCCCAACACTCATAAACTTAGGAAAGAGAGTGGTCCTCATACCTGCCCTTCAGGTTCTCAAGTTCCCTGTGATGCAACATGCTCCGCATGTGTTCGTCCATCTCCTTCAAAATTAAAGAAAGAAGATTAAACTAAGGGCCACCACTTTGAAAACATAATTCCTGTTTCTACTTAATCAACAATTGAGGCTCAAGCACCTGTGTCAAAAAATTTTTTGGGTTTAGTCTTCTCAATTCAGTATTAATTAGTTCCTCATTAAATAATTCCTTTTGGCTGTTTTTTACATATTTCATTTTTGAATAAAAGGAATTTTTTAAAAAGATTTATTTTATTTATTTAAAAGGTAGAGTTATAGAGAGACAGAGGGAGAGACAGAGAAAGAAGTCTTCCATCCTCTGGTTCAGCCCCAAATGGCTATAACAGCCAGAGCTGGGCTGGTCCAAAGCCAGGGGCCAGGAGCTTCTTCCGGGTCTCCCACATGGGTGCAAGGGCCCAAACACTTGGGTCATCCTCTACTGCATTCCCAGGTACATCAGCAGGGAGCTGGATTGGAAGTGGAGCAGCTGGGACTCAAACTGGTGCCCACATGAAATGCTGGTGTCAAAGGTTAACCCGCTATGCCATAACAGCGGCCCCAAAGGGATTCTTAGACATATATAAGTGGGTTTCTTTTTTTTTTTTTTTTTTTTGACAGGCAGAGTGGACAGTGAGAGAGAGACAAAGAGAGAGGTCTTCCTTTTCCTTTGGTTCACCCCCCCCCCCCATGGCCGCTGCGGCCGGCACACTGCGCTGATCTGATGGCAGGAGCCAGGTGCTTTTCCTGGTCTCCTGTGCAGGTGCAGGGCCCAAGCACTTGGGCCATCCTCCACTGCCCTCTCGGGCCACAGCAAACAGCTGGACTGGAAGAGGAGCAACCGGGACAGAATCCGGCGCCCCGACCGGGACTAGAACCAGGTGTGCCGGCACCGCAGGCGGAGGATTAGCCTAGTGAGCCACAGCGCCAGCCTAAGTGGGTTTCTAAAATGGTTAGAAGTTATTGTCTTTAGCAGGCAAAAGATTTAAGAATAAATTAAGTTAAATAATACCCTATTATAAGAAACTTCGGAATATTATTTAAAAAAAAACTCTCAGATCACTTAAGTTCTCAACTAGTTGGCTACTTTTATCATACTCTTCCCTACTCAGCTGAGAGTTCCTTAAGAGTAAGGTACAACTCTTTGCCATGTCTTGGCCAGCTCTTGGCAAATACTCTTCAATAAATATTTGTTGAATGAATACGAATAGATAATTCAATTCCAGATAGGAATTACAAACTTAACAGAAACTCCTTATGGCAGATCAGAAAGTTTTAAAAATACTCTGGACATGACAGCTCTATCACTCCTTTATCCTAACCCCCCCACCTCTGACCCAACTGATTTGTCTTGTTCCATTGAAAAGTTTGAATATTACCAGGATTCTCTCTTCCCCTCATTCTGTCATTAGTGGGAAGTAAATAACATCTGTGACAAAGCTGCCACCTAAAAACATGCACACATGAGAATGCGCGCACATGTGCATGCATGCACATGCACACACACACACACATACACACACGCCCTTCAAAAAGCAGTAACCATCTTCCCCTTTCTCACTCCAAAGTATATACACAGCCAGATGTCATAATAGATTGGTTTTTAGGGGTGAATGCTGCGGCACAGCAGGTTAAACCACTGCTTGGGATGCTGGCATCCCACATCAGAGTGTCAGTCTGCTCTACTTCCAATCCAGCTGCTTGCTAATGCATCTGGGCAGGCAGCAGATGGTGGCTCAAAAACCTGGGCCGCTGCCACCAATGTGGGAGTCACAGATGGAGTTCCTGGCCACCTGGCTTCCACCTGGCCCAGCCCCAATTGTTGCAACCATTTGGGGAGTAAACTAATGGATGGAATATCTCTTTCTCTCTCCCCCTTTTCCTGACACTCTGCCTTTCAAATAAATGAGTAAATCTTAAAAAAAAAAAAAAAGAGAGAGAGAGAGAGAGAGAGAGAGAGATAGATAGATAGATAGATAGATAGATAGATAGATAGATAGATAGATACTGGTTACTTACACATGTAATAATAAAAGACTACCACACTGTTGAGTATCACTATTTTCTGTACCCTGTATAAAGTGCCTCAAACATTTTCCTGTTCGAACTACAAAATATTGAAGGTGTATTAACTTCATAAGGACACAAAGTTGCAAAGGAGTTAATCTGCTCATTAATCAAATATTCATGAAGTGCTTATCTTGTGTTCTACAGAGCTAGAAACTGAAGGGATAAATGTGAAAATACTCATAGACTTGCCCTCTGAGAGTCATAATCAAGTTATCAAACTGAAACCCAAATCCAGACAGATCTGATACCAAAGTCAATATTTCAAATACCACGTCACACTTGTAAGCATCTTACACAGAGATCTTTTATTACACACAGTTCATTTGTTAAATGCAACCCAAAACCCATTATTGCTTTATTACAGTGTGATAAAAGAGTTGGGATTCAAAAATATTCCCTTTAAAGGGCAATTTTACCAAAGATGACCATTATTTCCTTCCTATCTCTTCAAATGTTTTATTTGGAGAGAACAGTTTTGCACGCCACCCCTTCTAGCCACAACTAATGGAACACTAACTAGAATTAACATTCTCAGAGTTGAAAACTGAGTCAAGTTCATGATATAATGCTGAGTGAAAAAAAATTCATGAGTATATAGCACCTTGAATCCCTAGGCTTCCTGTGGTTCAATTTTTCCTTGATTTGGACTTATGTGTAAAATCCCCTTTTCTTGAGCTACATTAAAGTGGGTTCTGTTCCTCACAACCAAACCATTCATGATCAAAGCAATATTTAAACAGGGTTATTATGTGATATTAAAACTGATTCTTGGCCGGCGCCGCGGCTCACTAGGCTAATCCTCCGCCTAGCGGCGCCGGCACACCGGGTTCTAGTCCCGGTCGGGGCGCCAGATTCTGTCCTGGTTGCCCCTCTTCTAGGCCAGCTCTCTGCTGTGGCCGGGGAGTGCAGTGGAGGATGGCCCAAGTACTTAGGCCCTGCACCCCATTGGAGACCAGGATAAGTACCTGGCTCCTGCCATCGGATCAGCATGGTGCGCCGGCCACGGCGGCCATTGGAGGGTGAACCAACGGCAAAGGAAGACCTTTCTCTCTGTCTCTCTCTCTCTCTCACTGTCCACTCTGCCTGTCAAAAAAAAAAAAAAAAAACAAAAAAAAAAAAAAAAAAAACACCTGATTCTAGGGGTCTGGCATCCCATATGGGCACCAGTTCGAGTCCCAGCTACTCCACTTCCAATCCAGCTCTCTGCTATGGCTTGGGAAACCAGTAGAAGAAGGCCCAAGTCCTTGGGCCCCTGCACCCATGTGGGAGACCCAAAAGAAGCTCCTGCCTCCTGGCTTCAGATCAGCCCACCTCCAGCCGTTGCAGCCATTTGGGGGAATGAATGAGTGGATAGAATACTTCTCTCTCTCTCTTTGCCTCTGCCTTTCAAATAAACAAACCTTAAAAAAAAAAATAAAAATAAAGAGCAGGCACTGTGGTGTAGTAGGTTAAGTACCTGCCTCTGCCTCCGGCATCCCATATGGGCGCCAGTTCAAGTCCTGGCTGCTTCATTTCTGTTACAGCTCCCTGCTCTTGGCCTTGGAAAGCAGAAGATGGCCCAAAAGCTTGGGCCCCTGCACCTATGTAGGAGACCCAGAAGAAACACCTGGTCCTGGCTTCAGATTAGCTGTTGTGGCCATTTGGGGAATGAATCAGTGGCTGGAAGACCTCTCTGTCTTATCCTCTCTCTGTAACTCTGCCTCTCAAGTAAATAAATAAATTAAAAAAAAAAAAAAAAAAGAACTGATTCTATATCCAATTTACTTAAAACTGTTATCACTTAAGACTAGTTTTGGATGAGTTGACACTGTGGCGCAGTGGGTTAATGCCCTGGCCTGAAGCGCCAGCATCCCATATGGGCACCAGTTCTAGTCCCGGCTGCTCCTCTTCCAATCCAGCTCTCTGTTATGGCCTGGGATAGCAGTAGAAGATGGCCCAAGGTCTTGGGCCCTGCACCTGTGTGGGAGACCTGGAAGAAACTCCTGGCTCCTGGCTTTGGATCGGCACAGCTCCGGCCGTTGAGGCCATCTGGGGAGTGAACCAGCGGATGGAAGACCTCTCTCTCTGTCTCTACCTCACTGTAACTCTTTCAAATAAATAAAATAAATCTTCCAAAAAAAAAAAAAAAAAAAAAAAGGAGGGGGTGGCGCTGTGGTTCAGCGGGTTGACACCCTGGCCTGAAGCACCAGCATCTCATATGGGCACCAGTTCTGGTCCCAGCTGCTCCTCTTCCAATCCAGCTCTCTGTTATGGCCTGGGAAAGCAGTAGAAGATGGCCCAAGTCCTTGGGCCTCTGCACCCGTGTGGGAGACCCAGAACAAGCTCCTGGCTCCTGGCTTTGGATCAGCACAGCTCCAGCCTTTGCAGCCATCTGGGGAGTGAACCAATTGATGGAAGACCTCTCTCTCTGTCTCTATCTCTCTCTCTAACTCTTTCAAATAAATAAAATAAATCTTTAAAGAAAAAAAATAATTAGTTTTGGGGCTAGCACTGTGGCACAGCAGGTTAAGCTGCTGCCTCCCATGCTAGCATCTCATATGGGTGCCAGTGTGAGACTGGTTGCTCCATTTCCTATCTAGCTCCCTGCTAATGCACCTGGGAAAGCAGCAGAAAATGACCCAAGTGCTTGGGCCACTGCACCTACATGGGAGACTTGGAAGAATCTCCAGGATCCTGGCTTCAGCCTGGCACGATCTGGGCCATTGCAGCCATTTGTGAAATGAATCAGCAGGTGGGCGCCGGCGCCGTGGCTCACTAGGTTAATCCTCTGCCTGCGGCGCAGGCATCCCACACGGGCACGGGGTTCTAGTCCTGGCTGCTCCTCTTCCAGTTCAGCTCTCTGCTGTGGCCCGGGAAGGCAGTGGAGGATGGCCCAAGTGTTTGGGCCCCTGCACCCACATGGGAGACCAGGAAGAAGCACCTGGCTTCGGATCGGCATAGCTCCAGTCGTAGCGGCCATTTTGGGGGGGTGAACCAACGGAAGGAAGACCTTTATCTCTCTCACTGTCTAACTCTGTCAAATAAATTAAAAAAAATTTAAAAAAAAAAAAAAGAAATGAATCAGCAGGTGGAAGATCTCTCACTCTCTCTGTAATTCTGCCTTTCAAATCAACAGAAATAAATCTTTAAAAAAAAAAGTACTAGTTTTAATATGACTTCTGATTTACTAAAACACTTCACTAAATCTTTTCCTAAATTTACAAGCAAAATCCTCTCCCTTCCTGTTTCCAAGGAATAAAAACAGTGAGACAAGTAAATTTTCAAAATAATTAGGCTTCTATTTAGTCCTTCAAATATTAATCAGCACTATTTTTTTAAGGGAGGAAGGATTTCACAGCTGAACAAATGTGGAAAACACTGAGTAATACAAAAATAAATATATTCTTTTTAACTCTGCGGCTTTTCAGTCTTTTATATGTTGATGTGGTAACTAGCCTTTCCCCCCCACCAAAGTCAGCCTAAAATCATTTTTCCTCCATAGTGCTTGGAGAAACCAAGGCTGTATTAATTTGGGAAACTAGAGGAAAGCACTGCTTCAACATAAACTGTTCACAGTTTATCTAAAAGTGTTTGAGTTATCCTTCCAACTAAACTAATCTGTTGATTTCTTAAGCCATATTATTCACTTAAATCACACCATTCCCTTGCTTAAAAATCCGTAACTGGCTTTCCCTAAGGCAGAAATGAGTAACTGGTCCTTGAGTTAATTCATGATCATGGAAAAATAAAAACATGAAAAGATGAAAACATTCAAAAGATTTTTTTACTTATCTGAAAGAATAAGAAAGCAAGAGCAAGAGGTGTCTTCCATCTGCTGGTTCACTCCTCAATTGGCTGCAAGAACAATGTCTGGGCCAGGCCGAAGCCAGGAGCCAGGAAATTCATCCTGAGTGGCAGGGGTTCAAATGGGCCTGCTTTTCCAGGTGCACGGACGTACATGCTAAGGCTTAACCCACTAAGCCACAATGCCAGGCCCCCCAAACATATTTTAAACCAGAAAAAGAGGAAATGCCAATATTTAAACTGGCAAAACCACAGTCTCACAGAACAGGGCTGCTATTCACAAAAGTCTGATGCTATACCTTCGATCATCAGCCTATCCATCTCACACTCTCCCCGTCTCCCTCGAACCCGAAAGGAGTCATAAGGAATTTTGAAATGCTGACAATCTGCATAAACCTTAATAGAAAAATCAAAAACTAGAAAAGCAATTCTGCACAAGGCAGCATATACATTAAATATGATTCTAAAATCTCAATGGATTTCTTCATCACCAACAGAAATCCTAAACAAGGGAAAAAAATCTCCACCCTACTTGATGGCTCATAACCCCCTTGTACAGAATCCCACGTTGTTTGTCAACTGTTTGCACTTAAATTACCAATTACAGTCTTACTATTGCCAAGATAAAGCTGTTTACTTGTTTGTCTTAAAGATTGATTTATTTTATTTGAAAGGCATAATTAGAGAGAGACAGAGAGAAATCTTCCATCTACTGGTTCACTCCCCAAACGGCCACAATGGCTGGGGCTGGGCCAGGCCAAAGTCAGGAGCTAGGAGTTTCAAAAAGGTCTCCCACACAAGTGCAAGGGCCCCAGGGATTGAGGCCATCTTCCGCTGCTCTCCCAGGTGCATTAGCAGGAAGTTGGATTGCAAGCAGAGCAGCAGGACTTGAAACAGTGGCCATATGAGATACCGACGCGTTGCAGGTGCTAGCTTATTATGCCACAACAACGCCCTGACAAAACTGAATCAGCTGAGCCTTCTGATCAACTCCACTCCATTTCACCAGTTTGTCTTTGTACATGTCTAAAATAGCTCTCCCTCATTTTTATTAAAACATCTTACTTTTAGGAGTCTTTCAAGATTCACTCCATCCACTCAGATTTTCCTGACTAACCTAAGCCCATAATCTTCCTAGTTCTCTGAATTTCCAATGACAATCCAGAACATCTTAAAATCATAGAAAACAATTCGTCAATGGAGCCAGCACTGTGGTACAGCTGGTTAATGCGCTGGCCTGAAGTGCCAGTATCCCATATGGGTGCCAATTCGAGACTTGGCTGCTCCACTTCCGATCCAGCTCTCTGCTATGGCCTGGGAAAGCAGTGGAAGATGGCCCAAGGCCTTGGGCCCCTGCACCCGTGTGGAAGAAGCTCTTGGCTCCTGGCAACTGGGGAGTGAACCAGCGGATGGAAGATCTCTCTCTCTCTCTCTGCTTCTCCTCTCTCTATATAACTCTTTCAAATAAATAAATACCCCCCCCCAAAAAGAAAACAATTCTTCAATACTCAAGCTAGTAGCACTACTTTGAAAGCAAATAAAAGCAAGAAAAGTCAAAAAGTGAGACAAATTAGTTTTCCTAAGGCACAGGTAAAATTCTTTTACATCATAAAAAGGTCTATTCTTCTTTGAGCAACATCCCCATCTTGTGGACATCTAGGATATCATCAATATCATTTCTGCTGTGCTGCACTTTTCACAAGCATGGGCACCAACAGAATGCAGGTACATATGAAGGCTATTCAAAATGTTCATGGAACATGTATTATGAAAAACTGAATGATTTCAAAAGTTTCTGTACCAAAATAAACTTATCTTTTAATTCTATTTTTCCACGAACTGTTGGAAGTACCCTTGTATAATAAATGCTGTATCCTTAGCTTATCAAAACCTATATGATTTTAAAAATATCTCTGAGGGCCGGCGCTGCCTGCGGCGCTGGCACACCGGGTTCTAGTCCCGGTCGGGGCGCTGGATTCTGTCCCAGTTGCTCCTCTTCCAGGTCAGCTCTCTACTGTGGCCCGGGAAGGCAGTGGAGGATGGCCCAAGTACTTGGGCCCTGCAGCCCATGGGAGACCAGGATAAGCACCTGGCTCCTTGCTTTGGATCGGCATGGTGCGCCAGCTGCAGCGGCCATTGGGGGTTGAACCAACGGAAAAGGAAGATCTTTCTCTCTCTCTCTCTCACTGTCCACTCTGCCTGTCAAAAAAACAAACAAACAAACAAACAAAAACAAAAACAAAAACAAAAACAAAACACCACTCTGAGAGTAGTATAACCTCAACCAATACTGTCTCTATAAATTTCTCTGTATCATTTACCTTTGAGTACCCTCAAAGTCTGGGCAGAAGTTTAATAATACAGGCACTGAGTTTATGAGACAGTGATAAGAAACCAGTTGAACAAGACTAGAGTTTAGGAAAAAAGCATAAATAAGAATTATTAGGGGCCAGTGCGGTGGTGCAGTGGCTAAGGCCACCACTTGCAGTGTCAGCATCCCATATGGGCGCCGGTTTGAGTTCCCACTGCCGCACTTCAATCCAGCTCTCTGCTATGGCCTGGGAAAGCAGCAGAAGATGGCCCAGACACTTGAGGCCCTACACCCACATGGGAGACCCGAAAGAAGCTCCTGGCTTTGGATCGGCCCAGCTCCGACTATTGCGGCCATTTAGGGAGTGAACCAGCAGATGGAAGACCTCTCTCTCTCTTTCTCTCTGCCTCTCCATAACTCTGCCTTTCAAATAAATAAAATAAACCTTAATAAAAAAGTTATTAAAAGCTTTTACCCATCTATCAATAACATGTCTCTGAAAAAATGGTTAGTCGTAAAGCCTCAGATTCTTTCTTCCATTATTACCTTTTTGGAGGTGTACACAATGTGGCACAATATGCATTTTCGTTCTCGTACCATAGTGACCAGATCTGAAGCACTCAACTTCACACCTGCAATGAGGAAGTAACATTTAGTAACCTAGTTAGGTAAATACTGGATTTTGAAAGAAGACGCAAAGGTTTTTAAATTTACAGTTCCCTAGTTCTAGCCTTCTTCCAGAAGCTCCCCACTGCTGGAGATGCTCTACACAAGATTTTCAATGCACCCCAAAGCAGCATTGTTTCTTTGTCTACACAGTAACACCAGGCTCTAATAGATGTATCTGCTTCTTCACATGGGGTTCATTCCTTTTGAGACCTTAACACCTGACATAATGAGCTACAAGCTACTCTGGTTTAATCTCTAACTCTTAGACAAGACAGTAAAAGGATCAATGAAAGAAGTCTAAGGTTCTCTCCACCTCTGGTCACTCAGCAGTTTTCTGGCTACTGAAATTCCACTTTATAACACTACTGGATGCCTAAGATAATTTTATTCAATAATAAAGTTTAAAATATCAAAATAAGTTAATAGGATAACAACTTGGATCTGAGAAAGATGAATGCCAATAAGCTATATAAACAAAGAATTGGGGCCAGTGCTGTGGTGCAGTGGGTAAAGCCACCACCTGCGGTGCTGGCATCCCATATAGGTGGGCGCTGGTTCAAGTCCTGGCTGCTCTACTTCTGATCTAGTTCTCTGCTATGGCCTGGGAAAAGCAGTAGAAGATGGCCCAAGTCCTTGGGCCCCTGTACCCATGTGGCAGACCCAGAAGCTGCTCCAGCCTTTGAATCAGCCCAGCTCCACAGGCATTTGGGGGAATGAACCAGCAGATGGAAGACTTCTCTCTGCCTCGCCCTCTCTGTAACTCTGCCTTTCAAATAAATAAATAAATCTTTAAAAAAATTATAGGTATAGTATTATTTATGCTTTTAGTATTATAAGATCCTAAATTTCAAAATTAACATAAACTAATTTTGGTGTTAATTCTCACAGCATATTCGTTCTTTTAATTCTCTTCTTTTACTTATTTATTTCTGAATTTTTCTATTTTTTTGTTTTGATGGTTAATAACTTGAAGCAGACTTTAAAACACTTCTGGTATTATCTTCTTTATCAGTTTTCCAAAGTCTTAGAATAGTGCTTAGTGCTCAATAAATATTTACTGAATGAAATAACAAAATGTTAGATGTAAGTAGTAAAGGTTGAAGTAAATGTTAAGATGCAAGGGAATTTGTAGCAGGCATTGGTATACTGGTTAAGATGTGGCTTGAGATGGCCACATCCATATTACGGTTCCTGGGTTTGACTACCAGCTTGTCTACCCTAAAAATCCAGCTTCCTGCTAATGAGCACCCTGGGAGGCATCAACTGATGGCTCAAATTGAGTTCCTAGCTCCTGGCTTTGGCCTGGCCCAGCCTTGGCTATTGTGGGCATTTGGAGACTGAACAAGCAGATGGAAGATTTCTCTGTGTCTCTCCCTCTGTCTGTTGCTCTGCCTTTCAAATGAATAAATCTTTGAAAAACAAAATACTCTATAGATCAATTTTTTAACCAGACTCCCTTTTTTAACTTTCTTCTTTCACAAGCTCCATGCTTCTAATCTGCAAGTATTAAGAACATACATTTTTCACTTTTTCTAAGATTTGTTTATTTGAAAGGCAGAAATAGAGATAAAGAAATAGAGAGACAGATGTTATCTTCTACCCACTGGTTCACTTCCCAAATGGCAGCAACTGCCCAGGCTGGGCCAGGCCAAGCCAAGAGCCCAGAGCTTCTTCCAGGTATCCCATGTCGGTGCAGGGGCTCAGGTACTTGGGTGATCTTCCACTGTTTTCCCAGGCACATTAGCAGGGAGCTGGATCAGAAGTAGAGTGGCTGGGTCTCAAACTGGCGCTCAGATGGGATGCCAGCACTGCAGGCGGAGGCTTAACCTTCTATGCCACAGCACTGGCCTCCATTTTCAGTTTCTTAGAATTATCAGAAAGTGTAACTTCTAGTAAGGAAGTCAATTAATAAAGAGGACTTAGTATATAAACCCTAAGCTGATATGATTCCAGCTCAAGATCAAGGGACTTTAATTTATATATCCTTAAATTGGATAAAGAAAATTCCATTGAGCTTTCCAAAATAATGAAGTAAACTCAGTCTTTTAAATGGGAAACAGTGCTCCCTTTAAAAGCCTTAACAAAGATTAGAAGTCAAGGAAATACCAAGCCTCTAGCTTTAGCGATCTCAACCAAGGTGACAGAGAGGTTACATAACACTCAAGTGAGAAAGTAAATAAGCAATTCAATCACTGCTGTCCTCACATTAACCACTTAACAACTCCCAGCATATCAATTAAAAATACCCTCCATGAATTCTTTCAACTTTTCTCCAAACTGTAAGAAGTGAGTGATATTTTTTAGACCTAATATTCTAAAAACTCCATAATTACTTTTTCTTAATGATCTAATTACTCTTCTGTCAATACAATTACCATCTTCCCTAGGCAAAGCTATATCTATTAATGTCTTATTTTCTTTCAAACTCTCATGCTTAGGCATCAAGTTCTGATAGAGTTGTTTTTTATTTTTATTCTCTTCCTCCAGTGTGATTAACTTCCATGATCCTACATCTATGCTCTCTTCACCCAATGGTTTCTTTTTTTTTTTTTTTTTTTCACCCAATGGCTTCATTCACTACTGCTTCTTGCCTTGACTCCTACCCTCCATATATAAACAAGTTCTAAATCCAAACTGGTACATCAGAATCACCCACACAGCTTATTAATAAAAAGGAAACAGCGGTGCGCAGACAGAGTGGAACTACTATGTTAGAATCTCCAAAGGGGGCGGCGCCGTGGCTCACTAGGCTAATCCTCCGCCTAGCGGCGCTGGCACACCAGGTTCTAGTCCCGGTTGGGGCGCCGGATTCTGTCCCGGTTGCCCCTCTTCCAGGCCAGCTCTCTACTATGGCCCGGGAGTGCAGTGGAGGATGGCCCAAGTCCTTGGGCCCTGCACCCACATTGGAGACCAGGAGGAGCACCTGGCTCCTGTCATTGGATCAGCGCGGTGCGCTGGCCGCAGTGCACCAGCCGCAGGGGCCATTGTGGGGGTGAACCAATGGAAAAGGAAGACCTTTCTCTCTCTCTCTCTCTCTCTCTCTCTCTCTCACTGTCCACTCTGCCTGTCAAAAAAAAAAAAAAAAAAAAAAAAGAATCTCCAAAGGGGCCGGCACTGTGGCGTAGTGGGTAAAGCTGACACCTGCAGTGCTGGCATCCCATACGGGCACCAGTTCAAGTTCTGGCTGCTCCACTTCTAATCCAGCTCTCTGCTATGGCCTGGGAAAGCAGTAGAAGATAACCTAAGCCCTTGGGCCTCTGCACCCACATGGGAGACCTGGAAGAAATTCTTGGCTTCTGGCTTCATATTGGTGCAGCTCTGGTCATTGCAGCCATCTGGGGATTGAATCAGTGGATGACGACCTCTCTCTCTCTGCCTCTGCCTCTCTGTAACTCTGCCTTTGGAATAAATAAATCTTTAAAAAAAAAAATATCCAGAGGCTCATTCTGTACTTCATTATGCTCTTTCCATCCTCACACCTAAGTCATCACTCCAAAGTGACAAACTGGTCAGAAGGAGCTTTTGAAGTAACCACTATTTCTTAACACTTGTGGTCCATCTCAAACATCTGTATCAGAATACTCTTCTAGGGGCTGGCACTGTGGCATAGTGGGTAAAGTCACTGCCTGCAGTGCTGGCATCCACTAAGGGTGCTGGTTCAAGTCACAGCTGCCCCACTTCCAATCCAGTTCTCTGCTGTGGCCTGGGAAAGCAATAGAAGATGGTCCAAGTCCTTGGGTCCCTGCACCTGTGTGGGAAACCTGCAAGAAGCTCTGGATTCCTGGTTTCAGATTAGCTTTGGAAAGTGAACTAGTAGATGGAAGACCTCTCTCTCTGCATATGTCTCTCTGTAACTCTGCCTTTCAAATAAATAAATAAATCTTAAAAGGGAGCGAGGGGAATGGCAATGACTTAGACTAAGGAACCAGTGGGAGGGGATGAGAAATATCCAGATTAACACAACTGTTTAAAAAAAAATTCTCCTAATATTTATCATGTAACTCAAGGCTTGAAAATAACTTTTGGTGTCAAAGAACTTTAACTGAAACACTGGCATATTATCCTCCTTTATTGTTAAAATGACCTGTAAAATAAGTAGAAAACAGGCTGTTTGACGATAGGTATGTATGATCTCCCTAACTTTACTATGAGGAAAGGATCTGTCATTTTGTATATTGTATCTCCTAAGACTCATACTAATTTTAAACTTCGACCTAAGTAAGTAAGCCAATACATGACAATACTATGCTGTCAAACACTGAAGGAAAAAAAGGCTAACTACTGGTTTGATGAGGGTGGTAGGAAGACTGGTACTTGGGTTAGAATCTGTTTTGAATACCAGTTTCAATTCTACTTTCTGTGCCTCTACCTTAATACCTGATAAAATTTAAGGATTTTTGGTGACCAGGACAGCGCAACAGGGAGACAAGGTTCATATACAGTTTTTGCCACTAAGCCTAGCTTGCCCGTGGGTTGAGAAGCAGAGATATGATTGACTTCTGGGAGGTCCTCACTTTGCTTAGTGGCAATAATCACAAAATTGCAAAAGTTTTACGAGGGTGATAACAAAGAGGTAGGGAAGTATTTCCGAACAGATTAATCCACAACCAGAACTTCCAAGGCTTATACTAGGTAACGGCCATATTTGCTACCTCTGACATGGCAGATCCTTCCTTCTGAAGGCAAGTGACTGGGGGTTTCCTATACCTAGTATCTTTGAACATAAACTTATAGGCGTTTTACTCACCAGGATTCCCCCTAACACTCTTTTGCAAGATTGTATGTACCAACTACTCTTTAGCAAGATTGTATATATCAACCACTCTTTTCAGTAAGCAGAAGAAGACAGGAAGTTCAGGATGTGACTCAGGAAAAGGCATTCATGATTTAACAGGCAGAAGCTCAGGCTCTTGCAAATGAAGCTGTTCATAATCCCCACCATGAGACAAGGAAATAGGACAGA